TATACTGATGTGCGAGCGTGACTGTTATTGCCAGTATTTCTACCAGTATCCTTCTCCTAGTTGCTGCAACAAAAATCTCTTATCATTATAATTGTCGATTATGGTCATGAAAATGCATATGGTGCGACTTTGATGACGGATATGTACTAAAGGTCGAGGGATTTTCAACCCAAGCCAAAAGCGGTAAACTGGAGTACCTTGGGTGTCCATTATACCCAAATCAAAAAGCAGGACTATTCCTTGAAGCTCGCGAAACGACAAACCGGGAGGCTCAGCTTGAAACCCGCTGGCACAGAGAGATGGCTGAAGAAAAAAACTCAGGCCCTTTCCGAAGCCGTGATATCACCCATAAGGTTTCGGCACTCCAACTCCAAACGCTCCCAGCCCCAAAACCGCATGTCATTGTTGCCTCCTTGGCGTCCGAAGGCATGTACTCTTCCACTTTGGCATGGCGCCAACCCTCCAGAAAGTTCCAGTGCTGCAAGACCTCTTTGGCCTTGCAGGGCTGTGGGGCTCTAGGATTTTAGGTTGGCTTCGGTGCCTTAGGGTTTTACGCAAACAGGGTGACCGATTTAGGATGTCACGCGTTGAACCTCGAATCTACTCTTCCTGCGCTCGGGCTATAGGGCTCGCCGTAAAGGTTCAGGGCCTTGGAATCAGATGTAAGTACCACTGACTGACCTTAAGAACAGGCGAACCTCACAAAGCCTACTTGGAGATTCATAAGTAGGGTTATAAGTGGGGGCTAATTTGATAAGAAACCATCTCCTGGGGCGCTAAACCCTAAACTCTGTAAATATCCTAAACTCTAAACCCCAAACCCTTAACTCTATAAGTATCCTAAGCTCTAAACCCCAAACCCTAAAGGGCCCCAACAACCCTACTTCCACCGCCCAAAGTCCGAAGCCCATAGTTCGAACGTCCAAGGGCACACAGAGCCTTGAGCCTACCTGAAATCCCTCCAGAGTCTGATCGTAGAGAACTCCTAGGGTTTGGGGTTTAGGCCGTAGGATGTAGGGTTTAGGGGTTTCGGGGTTTAGGATTTAGGGCCTATAGTGTGTAGGATTTAGGCTTTGGGTTTATGGGTTTAGGATTGAGGGATTTAGGGAGTTTTGGGGTTAGAGAACTGAATATCCAAAGCATTTCTTCTGCAGAGCCGTGCAAGCCTGATTCACTGGTTCAGGGCTTTTGATTGGAGAAGCTTGACTATCGATTCTGCCTTAAGGCAAATAAGGTGTAGTGCGCTGACGACAGTTTCAAAGCTTCTGAGTAAACAAATGAAGATACCCCAAATGAGCCTCACAAAACCCTGGTCTACGGGATCCTTTGGTCCAACTTCAGCCGGCCTTGTAGTAACTGTCCATAATCACGCTCCTTTCCTGGGCTGCCGGCTTGGGTTTAGGGCGCAAGCCTACGGCAATCTGCAGGGTAAGGCGGTTCTGTCGTAGCCCCAAAGGCCAAGCCACGAGCCGCAAAAGGAAGCCTATAATCTTGAAGTGTTTAGGGTTCAGGGAATTTAACCTATAAGCTTTAAACTCCAAAACAAGCACCTGGCCTAGAGAAACTAGCCCACGTACGGACTCCCACCGGAACCCGAAGCGACAATCGCACGCAGCTGCAGAGTAGCTAAACCTAAACCCTGACGACCGTAATTTCCTGAAACTCACAATATAAACATCTTCTCGTGGTGTAGAAATGTTGAAGACCCTTAGAACTCAGCAGCCTCCAGCCCTAAGCCCCAAATCCGAAACGAAAGCCAAGAGTCCCGAAACCGGGACTTTCCCCACAGCCGTGGTCTGCTTTCTACACCAGTAAGTTAGGATTTAGGGTTCAGGCTTTAGGGTTGATCATGTCTTACTCCTGATTCTGACTATAACCCGTCATGCATTTCTCGCAAGCTGACATGCCAGCTATTGTGTAAAACAGCGTAATATAGGGACCCTTATGTAAAGGCCCTAAATAACCCTATCATTATAATATCATGGGCCCCAAAACCCTATTCTGATTTTTAAGGCCCCTGGCCTTTATTACTCGTAGATGCTCAGGCTGTTGCTCGTAAACGTTGATGGGATCCTCATCTGGATGTTCATAGTTGGAAAAACCCTCGATCAAAGACTCCTAAACTCCACGCCTTTGATGGGGAAGCCCTCTACCGTAAGACTGCCGAGTCTCTCCTGTGAGGAGGTTCAGGGCTCTTTGAAGCGTTGCTTCACACTTGCACTTCGCCGCCGCCGACGCAACCTAGAGGTCAGGGTGTAAGGGTTTAATACAGGGGCTTTAATTGTTTGAATAGGTCTATTATATGATAACTACAATAACGAACCCCAACATAGCGTTGGCACCGATTTGGCTAGTTGTCAAAATTATGGTCCCTTTTGTGGTACCCTAAATACTGTATTACGTGCCGTATTATAAAAGGGACCCAAAAAAGGGACCCTCTTTTTGACAACCAACCATTTAAAGGCCCCTACAGTAGGGTTTGGGGCTTGGAGTGCGCGGGGTCTCGTGCATCTTAAACCCTTTGAAAACGATTTATGAATGGGTTCCCTTTATAAGGAAATGAGGAGAATTAAAAAAAATATCCCAAAGCACAACCCAGAGACCTTTCGAGTGGCAGCTTGGGGCCTGGGGTTTAGTCGGGCTAGGTGGGATTAGGGGATTAGGGTTCAGGGTTTAGGGGATTAGGGTTCAGGGTTTAGGGGTTTCGGGTTTAGGGTAGAGGGGTTGAGGGTTTAGGGTCCAACCTGGAGTTTACCTATAGTCTCCATTGTAGTTCTTTTTTTTGGTTAGCCAATTGAATGGCTAGATTTCTATAGTATAGAGCTTGGTTAACCAAAAAAAGGAACTACAATGGAGACTATAGGTAGTTGGGCTAGGTGAAACCCTTAACCCCAACCCTCTATACCAAACCCTCTATACCAAACCCTCTCTTCAACAGAAACTAAACCTTCAACTTCACCATAAACCCTAAGACCCCAAACCTTAAGCCCGAAACTACACCACCAAATGCCTAAACCCTGAATCCCTAAACCCCTCTATAACCCTACACCCCCGCCAGAAGGACATCCCACCTCTTGCTGCAGCCGCTGCATCTCAGCCGGATATGCCATGGCTCTTGAAGGGACTCTATGCAGAATGCCCACGCAACCCTGAACGAGGTTCTGTGGTTAGGGGGCATGTTCAGCACGCTTGGGGCCCACTTGCTTCCGTAGCATACACTTACAGAGCTCCTATACAGGTACAACAGGTTCAAAGTACTTATGATAAAAGAGGGTCTGGGGTATAGCGTAATTCATGCTACGATATATATATATATATACATATGGACTAGGAGGGGCTTCTTGTTTATGATTATTCCGAGCCCTTGGTCTATTTGGCTTCAGACCTTCATCAGTTGGCGTCGTTCTGGTTTTCTTTTACATTCGTGAATCATGTGTTTAGCCTATGGCTCCGGGTGGCAGCATTTTCAGAACTTTAAACCTTTCCCAGCTGAAACCCCTGGTTTACGAAGCTTGTTTAGCTGAAGCTGAAGGCATGGAGGAAATCTTGAGATTCAAGTCGTGTTGAAAAGTCATGCTATCCCGAAGGCTCAAAAACGGCCCAAAGGCCTTATAAAATACGGTCTTTAGGCCCGAAAGCCTTAGAATATGACTCCTTAGAGCCTTAGGGTATCTGTTCTTCCGGGCATCTCGACGTGTCTCTCGCATTTCTGCGGCCATCGCTACCGTGGAAAACAGCTGTGACATTCGCCGTTGAGCAGGGGCCGAGCAGCACATAGGAGGGTCCTTGTAATAAGGTACTACTTAGAGTACTATATTAGGGTCTCCTATGTTCGGAAACTCCCACATAAGCTTTCAGGGACGTCGCATCTTCTGGGGCTCTCGGCGCAAAGATGTCAAGCCAGGTTCGTGGAAGCATGATGCAGGTTTAGAAAGTGCGTACTGGTCAGACCATGAAAAATGTGATGATGATGGTGGTTCTGATGGTGATGATGGATACGGTGGTGACGGTGATGATGGTCATGGTAATGATGGTGATGACAGTGATGCGGATATGATGATGATGACGATGAACAAGAAGACGGCGATGACGATGACTATTCCGAGTAACGCTTGAATCAACAACAACAGCCACCAAGCCGTAAGTCCCGGTTTCGAGAAACACACAACACCCATAGCCTGCAACCAAACAGATCCCTTGAAACCCATGGCCTCTTCCCAAAGCACAAATCCAAACCTCTCCAATTTCTCTTCTATTGCAAGCTAGGGCTTTTCTTGTGGGCCCTTGAAAGCTTAGACCTGTCGTTCCTTGTCAAGAATAGAGTAGACTTACACCGTCAGACAAACGTAAATCCTGATCACTAGAATCACTAGACTCTATACTTGGAGGGTCGGGGGACTTAGTAACTCGTTACTTTAAGGACTTATAAGTACCATAGCCCCAATTAGAGTCCCTTTTAGGGTACTTATAAGTCTACTTCCTACCTACTTACTAAGTCCCCCGACCCTCCAAGTAAACACCAAAGACCCGAACATCCGCCGTTCACCCCTTATCGCCCGACCCCTCAGCCCAAAACTCCAAACCACAGACAGAACCCTTCCAGAAGCCCTTGAAGGATCGTAAAAAAAAAATCCCCTGCGACGCAAGGTAGGGTTTGGAGTGGTTTGGGTTCAACCCCCCAAACAGATATTATATTATAGAACACCCAGAAAATCCCTCGTAAACCCCTCATGGCCTCTTTGTAAAACTCCCTGTTCCTAAACCCCAAACCCTACTGTTGATGATATAAATCCTGCATTACCTTAAGGACCTAAGCTATGAGAATTATGGTGTATTCCTTATTATGGGTCATGCAGGATTTATATCATCCTAAACCCTAAACCCCCTATAGATCCCTTAAAGGAACCCCTTAAAGGTAGCCTTATAGATCCCTTTAAAGGAACCCTAGGATTTCCGTAAGCCCTAAACCCTCAAAGCCCTTCAAGCGCTCAGCCACCGGCCCAGTGGAGCATCGTCGAACCTTCGGCCCGCTCCTTGGGAACCTTTGAAAAACGGCGTGGGCCGAAGGTCCCGCATTTTTGGGTGGTTACCTTGCTGGATAGGGATTCTATAGGGGTATAGGGTTTAGGGTTTACTTGGAGGTTCATGGGTAGTTAGAAGTAAGGTTATAAGTAGGGTAACTTTACTTATAAGCCATATTAGGGGACTCACAACCCCACTTATAACTACACATGAACCTCCAAGTAAGGTTGCTTACCTTACTGAATAACCTACCTTTTTAGGGTTCTTTATTATGATTTCTTCATATAAATCCTCAAAGATGTAGGTTCTTCGGGGTTAAGGTAAGGTTTGGGGCTTAGGGTTCAGGGGTTTAGGCTTCGGAGGAACAGGGGTTCCTATAAGGACTCTATAAAGGTTTCTTACCAAGGGCTCTGTAACGGTTCCTACAAGGGGTCTATATGGTTTAGGCCTGAATGTTTAGTTTAGGCCTTGCAGGTTTCGGTCGAGACTTAATTATGCAGGGCTTCATTCGGTCAACATTCGCTCGACACATTCTGGACTACTATTCCTCAATTCCAATATGAGGCTTTATGAATCGAAACTCGAAACCGTTAACCTCAGACTCTAGACCTAAGAGTAACCTCGGAATAAAAAGGGTGCCCTTTTTGGCTTAACGGGGGTTACAAGGGAATCTGAACGCTAAACAAGGGAATAAGGGCCTACTCTGGGTCCTAGGACTCCCAGACATCCCTCAAACCACCTGCCCCTCTCATCTCCTCCCTGAACCCCGGGTCCCTGAACCGAAACGGATGGTGTTATGGGCTCGCCCCTAAACCCTAAACTCTAAGCCCCTAAATCCCAAGCCCTAAGCACCTCGGCCCCAAACCCTAAGCCCCTAAACCCTAAACTCTAAGCCCCTAGCCCCAAACCCAAAGCCCCAAACATTAAACCCAGGCCCCAAACCCTAAAACCCTAGTATTTGTACAACTCCGACCGAAATGAAGCAAACTCTCGGGCCTTCAGTTCCACCGTTCCGCTCCAGATCAGGTAGAGCTTGTCCCCTGGAGCATAGGTTTGTATGAGCTTTAACTCAGATGTATTAATGGTAACAAGGTCAACAACAATGACAATAGCAATAGTTATAATCGTAAGCAAAGAATGATTCAGTACCCATAAACATGTAAAATGCTACCCAACTATGACAAAGCCTTCGTGCCTTGAAACCGGTCGCTCCTCCCCACCTTCTACCTTCGCAGGCAATGCCCGCTTCAACCTGGGCTTCAGCCATAACCCAGAGACTCCAATATCCCTTAATTAAGAATATTCCTCAAATCATATTAGGGATCCTACTATAATTTAGGGTATATTCCTTAATTAAGGGATATTGGAGTCTCTGGGAATGCTCCCCTACCAGGACCCCCCAAGTACCCTTTAAAAGGCTCTAATATTTCCCATTCAGAGGTAATTAGAGGCTACAAAAAAGGGTAGTTGGGGGTCCAGGTGTACCCTAAACCTTCAACCCAAATGCACTCCACTATACCCTTACCTAAACCACCAAAAGTTGGTAAAATAATAACCCAAAACCTAGAAAAGGCCATGATTCTACATACTGTTGGGGTCTAGGGATGAACCTTCAACCCAAAACTCTACTTGAAGCCTGAGATGTGGAACTTGGCGTTTGGGTTTGGGGTTTGCGGCGTAGGGTCCGATTTTATGGTCAGGGGTCTGATCACAAGAAAGTAGGGTGCACAAAACAAGGTGCATCAATGTAGCTTCGAAACTAGGCGAACCCTCGAAAAGCCAAACTTTAAAAATCCCGACGGCCCTTAGGTTCTAGGATCTTTAGGATTTACGCAATCTGCTCGACAAAGCCCGAACAGGTTCACGCTGAACAACAAACCAGAAACAAACTCCCTGTTGACCCTTACAGCTGTAACTGCTAAGGTCCTAAAAACCAAGAGCGTAAACCACTGCACTGTGTCCCTGCACACCTGAAATTCTTGAAGACCCCAGGCACCTTAAGCCTTAAGTACCTTTTCAATCACTCTCTCTCTCTCTCTCTCTCTCTCTCTCTCCTCTTGCGGCCTGCCTAAACTGAGCCCAAAAGCTCACACAGCCATTCCCCATGCATCCCAAACCCATGAACCTTAAACCCTAAACCCATGAATCCTAAACCCATGAACCCTAAACATATGGGTGGTCGTCAAAATTATGGCCCATTTTTTGGGGTACCTATTATACTTCGGCACCTATTATTTAGGGTACCCCAAACAAAAATCTTAATTTTGACAACTACCCATATAGTGGCCTAAATTATTACTAATACTAGTTTGGGGGTTCCTGATTTTACTTGTGGTATAATGGGCCCCAAAATCCTATTCGAATTCCCAAAAAGTGACCATCAAATTTGACAACCACCCATATGATAAACCTCCTAGAGCCCCGGGCCCCCAAAGCGGTTCTTATAGTTTAACAGGAATCGGAAAGTTTTAGGGTTTAGGGTTTTAGGGTTTAGGGTTTAGGGTTAAGGGTTTAGGGTTTAGGGTTTACCTTTTATTTCTGTGGCTTGTTGGGAGAATAAGGCCTAAACCCTAACAGAACCATCCGAACACACCGAAAGCTCCAAAAGCTCCATCCGCCTTCCGCCCCGTAGTCAAAGATCAGAGAGTCCTTCTCGAACTCCTTCGCAGGGAGCCCAGGCCCAAAAGCCCAACGCCGAAGACTCAGCCACAAGCCTTTCAGAAGGAACTAGAAAAGGTTTCTAAGGCAACAAGGGCTGTACAAGGTTCAAAAAAGAGCCCTGAATACACGGAATATAGAGGGTCTTGGTGTAGTGTCGCGGCTGGAGTCGTTGCGCTTCAGTTGCTCAGATCCAAGACACCTAGAAGCGACAGGAGCCAAGTCTGTCACAGAAATGTCAGGGTGCATGATTCACGTCTACACGCCGACACAAGCGCGGAGTCAAGTACTCTAGGGACTTTAATAATTGGAATAGGGTTTTGCGGCCCCTTATACCACAAATATGATGAGGAACCCCCAAAATAGTACAGGCATTTCATTATTCAGGTCGCTATAGTATACAGCCCTTGTGGATCCCATGCGGAACCCTTTCACAGGAACTATGCTGCTCGGGATCCGTTCATTCGACTCCTATAAGCCTCCATGGCAGGCAGATACCTGGCCGCATAGGAGGCTCTTCGGTTGATGGTATAAATCTATATCATCCTAAACCCTAAACCCCCTATAGATCCCTTCAAGGAATCCCTTAAAAGGTACCCTTACAGATCCCTTTAAAGGAACCCTAGGATTTATATCATCAACCGTTCTGTAGGTACTTTAAAGCCAGAGTGCATCCTCTCCAAGGTGGAGCCTCAGGGTCTTGAAGCTTCATACTGGGAAGATTCTTGTGTTGAAAGCAGAGTTTAGGGGTTTAGGGTTTACCAGGGTTGCTGTAGGTTTGCAGGGGAAGTCAACCGAAGAACACTTGTGCAAACCTACTCATCCAAACCCCTGGTGAACAACCCCCTTCCCCTCTTAGGCTTGATCCCTCTTTGGATCCCTCTCACGTGGCCGGGGCTTCTTCATCCGGACATAAGGCTCTATGTACCCAAATGGTATATGCTTTGACCCAAAGCTTAGCCCAAAGTATATGCTTTTAGGCACTTCCAAAGCCTCGAAGCTCCAAAGCCTAAATCCCAAAAGCAGTGCCGATAAGGCGTTTCATCTTCCCCCCAGGTGTCCTCCCATTTTAAGCGCTCACCTTGGATGGACTGCCCGAATTTAGGGTTTACAGTTTGGGATCGGCTTAGGGTGTTCGGGGTCTGAGCGTAGTGTATTCAGGCCTCAGGATGGGTTTAAGTTAAAGTTTTGGGGAGGTTTGCTTTTGGAAAGTTTGTCTTAGAAGGGGCCCCCACCCTGTAATAGTGGTACAATAGGAATAGAATAGGGCCCAAATATAATCCTTATAGTCACTATTACAGGGCGGGGGCAGCTTCTAAAGCTTGTCTGGGGTCTGGAGTTTCGTGCTCAAGGAAACAGAGCGGGAGAGAGTGGCAGAAGCTTTGCTTCTGGTCCTCTGCCGCAAAATCCTCTCCCGCACCGCCTAGGGGTTCGAAAAGGGGTACTATGGGGTTCTATAATACGGTCCCCTTTAAAAGGCTCCCTTGAAGGGTGCCCCCCCCACCCCGGAATTCCATCCTTCAGCTTCTGACAGGATGTAGGAATGATCGGAGTTTGGCATCTCCAAGCTAAGGCCCCACCAGCTTTACCGTTTGTTTTTTTTGTGCTCCTTTTCTCCTGCTTCACAAGGTCACACAATACCGGTTTAGGGTTTAGGGTTTAGGGATACTTGGCACAGGAGTTTCTGACAGGAGCATCGGATTCTGGGGACCAAGGTCTGCAACTCAAGACCGGGTGTGCTATCGCGGGGGGGGGGGGGGGAACCTTCGCAAAAGGCGATTCCCCCACGAAGAATTTTTGCATACATATATATATATATATATACATATGTAATAATAATAATAATAATAATAATAATCATTGCAATTATTAACAATCATGATAATACTGTTTCGTACCAAGCTCCAGAGCGGCAAGCATGAAGGTGTAAGTGCCCGGCATATCGCTCGCTTGGCATCCTTGTCCAGATTCGCAAGGAACCTCATACAACATCACTGCCAGAACCCTAAATCCTAAACCTCTGCCACCATGTGATATGACAAGAGCTCTAAACCCTGAACACTATAAACCTTACCCTAAAGCCGCGGCCCTAAAGCTTCGAAACCCAAGCCCTACCATGTGCCCCTGAGCCCAAGACCCTAAGTTCCCGAAGCCTTAACCCGAGCCCCAAAGCATTAAATCCGCAGTTAAATAAGGAACCCCCCACAGAAAACGCCATTGCAGTCCTTCCCTTCCCTTCTACGAAGGAGCCTAAAAGGGATTCTAACTTGGAGAACTACCCATATACTGCATGGGTAGTTCTCTAAATAATAGGCTCGCTTCAAGGGTCTTTGTATACGCGCGACGCACTAATATTCGGGATTTAAACCCCTAAACCCTAAACCCCTAAACCCTGAACCCCTGTTCCCTAAACCCCTAAACCCTAAACCCTAAACCCCAAGAGCCCTCCGCGGTACGGCTCTGAGGTCCCCACGCAACCTGCAGCTTGTCTACGGCATGGAAGACCTTCGCAGACCCCATGGGGTTCCAGTTACCTAAATCTTGGGTTGTAGGGTGTAGGGTTGAGGGCTTAAGGTCTATAGGGCTTAGGGGTTGTAGAAGTTGGGTTACTGGGTTACAAAATATATGGTTAGTTCGCGCGCAGCTTCGAGCAGAAGGGCATGAACGGGGCAAAGGATCTAGGACACTGACATTTCGGCTCTGGAGGCCCCTCATCTAGTACCCTAAATTGCAGGAGCCCTATTATAAGGACCCCGAAAAAGGTACCCCCTAACTTTCGGAAACTCTAGACCCTAAACCCTTTGTTAGAACCCTTATCGATCCCTTTAAGGACCCCTTATAGATCTCTTTAAAGGTACCCCTAATTGTCGGAAACTCCCAAATGCTGCAGGCGCCAGATCAGGTTGTCGGGCCGAGGGTCGGGACAGGCCAAGGCCGAGGCAGGTCGACGGCTCGGGGTTAAGCTTTAGGATTTAGGGTTTAGGATTTTGGGGTTTAGGATTTAGGGTTTTGGGGTTTAGGGTTAGGGTTTAAGGTTTAGGGTTTAGGGGTTTAGGGGTTTAGGGTTTAGGGGGTTTAGGGGTTAGGGTTGAGGGTTTAGGGGTTTAGGGTTTAGGGGTTTAGGGGTTTAGGGTTTAGGGGTTAGGGTTTAGGGGTTTAGGATTTAGGGTTTAGGGGTTGGGGTTAGGGTTTAAGGTTTAGGGTTTAGGGGTTTAGGGGTTTAGGGTTTTAGGGTTTAGGGGTTTAGGGGTTTAGGGTTTTAGGGTTTAGGGTTCTAAAGTTTAGGGTTTAGGGTTTAGGGGTTTATGGGGTTTAGGGTTTGGGGTTTTAGGGTTTAGGGTTTAGGGTTTAAGGTTTTAGGGTTTTAGGGTTTTAGAGTTTAGGGGCTAGGGTTTAGGGTTAGGGTAAAAGCTGCGAGTTTGTTTTGTTGTCTAAGCTGGAGCTCTGAACCACTAAACCCGCAAGCCGAAACCCTGAACCCTCTCCTAGCGCACTCAACAAAACTGGCACCTCATCCACCTCCTCGCGGGTTCGTTCCGCGACCGGCTTCAGAAGGATGTCCCGCAAAGCTGGCGATGGCTTGATATAAGTTGTGGAGTTGTACGAGGGTAAGGGCTTGAACTGCTTGGGGCTTAGAGCTTAGGGTTCAGGGTTTAATCATGGCTACTATAAGGTGTCTTTTAGGGGTGTCTACAAGGGTTCCTATCACTATATGGTGTCCAAACTTTCCAAAAGCTGTTCGGGCTCGGATTATATAAAGATGGGGATAGCCGATAACCACTTTCATTGCTGAAACAGGTTGTGGAAGGGCCCACCTGTCAGTGTTGCCCCTGAAACGAGTCGTTCTTTTTGGTGCTGCTCGTGCTCTCTTGGAATGAACATGTGAAGCGGTCTGAGTATGGGAATAGCTCCAGCGGATGGACTGCGAGCTCCATCACACAACAAGCCCTAACATCCCGTAATCTTCAAAGCAAGAACAAACCATCGGGCCTCAAACACGAAGCATGGTACGTATGTCAACACCCTTATAGAGCCCTTATAGGACCCTTAGAGGGCAACAGGGTGCTACGCCGTGCTCCCAAGAGCATTCATGGGAATCCGCTGGCAAACGGAGCTCTTCCCCGATGTCGCCTTTAGAGCGGATGGTCGCCCTTCCGCGCAGCTCATCCTCCAAATCATCCTGGACCGGTCTTTGGTCTTTGGGCTTCGGGCTCCTCAATGAAGGATTTATAAGCGTTCAGGATTCAGGGCTGTAGGGCTGCAGGATAGATTGCGGGTTCTGGTCTAGGATTCAAGTTTCAACTTCATACGTTTGCGGCTGTCTTTGGTGAGGAAACCTGAAACCAGAGCCTGACCTCAAACCCTAGACCTTATCCCTGAACCCTAAACCTTAACCCCTAACCTAAAGCAAACACCCCTTGAGTCCTAAGCCCTGGTCCCCAGGCTAGACAGGATTCCTAAAGCAGGACCCCGATACAGTAAACTGTCTAGGGTTGACGGATAGGGATTTGGTCGGGACGTAGTAACCATGGATATGCAAATCAGCGTATCTCTGGCTATAGTTGCTTCTATAGCCTCAATTAGGATACTTGAAACCTTCCTTAATTCCCCTAGTCCTCCAAGCAGGAACTTTCCTAAAACCTTACCTGGACTCTGAAACTGAACTGCTGTACACCTACACCTTTCGGGGATACAGTATGGGCTGGGCCTGAACGGCTGCTGAATAGGGTTGTGGAGCATCTTCCAGCATTCTCATATCATGGACTATAATATCAGGGACACCCTTGCTAATGTGTCCGACCTCTGTATTAGTATTACCGCTTACGGGTAGAATTGAGCCATTCAAAGCAACCCAAACAGGAGCCATCCATAGAAACCTTAACAATTCATAACTTAGAAGGGGACCCCACCCTGTAATAGTGACTATAAGGATTATATTAAGGCCCTATTATATTCCTATTATACTACTATTACAGGGTGGGGACCCCTTCTAAGGTATAACAGAACAACAAAAAACGTACGCAAACTCCACAGCTACTCGCATCCTTGAGCTCAACCCCCCCCCTCCAGGAACACCCCAACCCTACAACCCTAACCCCATAACCCTAACCCCTATAAACCCTACAACCCTGACCACATAAACTACACCCCTAAACCCCTAAACCCTAAAACCCTAACCCCATAACCCCAAACCATAAACCCCTAAACCTCTAAACCCTAAACCCTACAACCCTAACCCCTTAAACCCGTAAACACCTACCCCCAAAACCCTATATAAACCCTAACCCGACAAACAAAGAAGCAAAGCTTGGGCTGCCAGGGGCCTCTGTGCCGGCGCTGCTTCGGCCGTCGATGGCCGGAACTCGGGAGAAGTCCGCTGCTTCGGCTTAGGTTGAGGGTTTGGGGTTTAGTGTTATTGTTTGTTTTTTTTTGGGAGGGGGGTGGTTTAATTAGGGTTTGGGGTTTAGGGTTTGGGGTTTGGCTGGTTGTGTTTTTGTGGAGGGGGGGTTAGGGTTTGGGGTTTGCCGTAAAGTGGCGCATAAGCGGAAGTATCTTGGGACAGTGTGATTTCGAATGCCTCGTCCTCTGACCATTGGCCGTTGGAGCCTGGTTGTGGATGGCTCTTTCTTTCAACTCTCCCACCCCACGCCGTCTAAGGCGGCCAAACCATTTCCTTTTAGGGTTTGGGGGCAGGGCAGGGCAGAAAAAAAGGCCCGTGTTGGGGGCAAGGGGAGGGCAGGGCAGCAAATGGTCAGCGCGTTTATATAAGGGTTTAGGGTTCTAGAGGGGCGGATTGAAGGGTTAAGGATTGGTACTTTTTGGAGTTAGGGTTGTTGCCAGCCGGGTCGGACGTACTCCAGGGTTTGCGATGTCGGAACTGCTAGGCTGCCAGAGTGTCGGAGTGCAGGGCCGGGGTGTTGCTTTCTCTGCGCATCTCTTGACTTGAATTGAGGAGTCATGGGCCCACGTTTGTGCTTTCCCAGGCTGAGTTTGAAGTTTGAATGCAGATCTCTGAACCGAAACCCACAACCCGATCGACCGCAAGCCCTCGAACCAGCAATGCTCATAAACCCTTACCCTATAGAGACCCAAAACTCAACCTCGTAGGCCCTAAACCGCTTCATCCCTGAACAAGTCAGGTGTTGCAGCCCAGCGGCCTATCGCAGAAATCGGGTCCTGCGGTAGCATAACGTCCCTAAACCCTCCTAGGGCCCTAGGGCTTACATAAACCCTAAACCTCTAAACTTTAAACCCCAAACCCAAGCCGAGCCCTTAAAATGTACGCCCAAGGAATTCTATTCTATTCTAACATGTTGTAATATTCTATCATATTATGCTAGTGTTATATCACATGGCATGTTGCTATAGTATAATCTAGGAGCCTTAATATTTAGAATAGGGTTTCGGGGGATGTTATTTTACAGGAAGAATCCCCCAAAAACCCTATATAGTCTAATTTTGAAGGCCCCTACCTTATTCTCGTGCTGGCTCTATACTGGGTTGTGCTTTAAACCCTTTGATTTTGTTGTTTAGGTTCCGTTTTTAAGGAAATAAGGGACATTAATAAGTATCCCAGAGCACAACCCAGTATAGGGCTCCATGAGCTTCATTGGGTGGAGGAGTGCAGCATACCTAGGAATTATCGGGCTCCGTTGCTCGAAAGGGCTTAGGGTTGAGGCTTGAGGGTTGAGGGCTTGGGGTTTAGGCTTTAGGGGTACGGGCCTAGACAGGTACTTGAGTGACAAAAGTCTGTACTGTATCAAGGATGTAGTTGGAGGGTTGGGTTTAGGGTTTAGGGCTTACGGTTTAGGGGGGTTGGGGGTTGGAGGGTTGGCGTAGATTCGGAGATCGATGGGAGCGCTGGAGGTTGGCAGGGGCTGGACTGCAGGATTGGAGCCGGGAAGATTGGAGGTCAAAGTCTTTGTTTCGGAGCCGACAAAATGGTCTAAGACTCCATGTGCCCATATAGTAGGTACTTAGGCCCTAAGGGGTCCTTGTATAGGCACTTTAAGGCCTAAGTACCTACTATATGGGCACATGGAGCCTTAGGGAAAAATGGTGTAAGGGGTAATCCTTCACTCAATATTTGTATCAAGGCTTTGGCCTGGACCGCACCGACACCAAGCAATACTACCAATACCCCATCTTAAATACTTAAATACTTAAATAATCGGTAACAAATCGGGATCGGTCGACTCGGTAAGTTACATCCATGCTGTCTGTCTGCGTGTGTGATGGAAAATCACCGTAATGCAACTCAATGCAACCTCTTGTACATGTAGCCTGATGTAGCGTAAGCGTATAGGTGTATATTCATGCATACATGCGGTGCTTCAGACAAAACAAGGTGCAGACAGGCGTCAAGCCCTAAACTTTCAACCATAGGTATCTCAAGCGATTCTTGCTGGAGCTCCGGTAAGGGATCCCGGGGATGCCTGCATGGCAAAATCTGATCGGCACAGCACCCGAGTAGGGATATAGGGTTTTCAGGATCTGAGGGGGCCAAACGGCCACCGCCCCTCGACCTGTGCGGCCCAGCTACCTTTCTTGAAGCTATTGCCCCCATATATAAGCATATAGAGCTATGTATCTGGGCGTGATGGGCACAGCATTTACAACGAACTATCAAGTCCAGAGAGTTATATTTCAGGGAGCTTAGGGGCCTCGATCGAACCTAGCACCCTGAACCTTGCAACCTATCAAGGCACCCCCCTTCCAGCCCGCCAAAAAAAGGCCTCCATCTCGCTGTGGAAATCGTGACCTGTCTTTGCGCAGTCTTGGGGTCTAAGTTAAGTGCACTGTTGACCGCAAGTCTTAAAGTAATTGAAAGCCTCGCTCAAAGGTCAACTCCCAGACACCAATGAGCATACACTCCCTCAGGCTGCCGGTGCCTATGCAGTATATACTTGGGCCCAAAACTACCGAATGAGGCCAGAGTATATAAACATGAATGTAGTCATATAGGCAAAAAAGACCCTTAAGGACTCAAATCTTCGAGCCGTAAACCCCCCGACCGCAGAGGCCTGAGACCCTGAGCCGCGAGCGGTTTAAAAATTAAAGGTGAAGGCTTTAAGGCTTTAGGCGCTACACCACACGTATTCAACCTTGGCAGCAAAGCCCCAAACCCTCAGCCTAAGCCATGGAGCCCAAAACCTACCTTAACCCGGAATAGCATACATTGTTAAGGATTTATATTGTATAAGGAAATCATAATCAGGAACCCCAACAAGGTAGGTTAATTAGGGTTCAGGTAAAGCCTAACCGGCAGGACCCGTGCCCTTGACTTGCTGAGGTTTTGCATCAGCCGGCCTTCGATTCCTGCCATTGTTGGCTACGGAGCCAAAGGCGCCTGGTGTTTGGAAGCTGAACGTCGCATTGTCTGGTTTTAAGATGTATATAGGGCCACGGTTTAGGATTTAGGGTTTTGGGTTTAGGATGTAGGGCTTAGTGTTTGGAGCTTAGAGGCTGTGGATCTTTGTGCTCATGATGCTTTGGGGTGGCGTCTTAGTCTCGGGTTGCGGAGATAGTGGCTCTTGGGGTGTACGGCCTTTCAGGTTTTAGGATTCGAGTCTTGTCGTAGGCGCGGGGTGTCAAGGGAATGCGTAGTTAAGCATGCCAGGCTCTAGCCGCCAGTCCGAGCGAACGACTTTGCAGCAAGCAAATGTGTGCAAGCAGCTCCGGTTGTCATTCCAGCCTCCGCCTCAGCAGCGCTGCCAGAAAACTTGAAGACCCTACATGCCGAGAAACAAACCAAACCTCAAGATACTTATACGTGTTCTGCTGAAACTCTTAGGGGGAAGCCCCAAGCATACGTCAAACCACCTTAACCATGTCATTAATGTATGGGGCCTCTGGTCCTATGACCCTGTCCAAAGAAACCTGTGAAACCCTTCCAATGGTTTAGGGTTAACCTTATCTCCCGAAAACCTACATGCTTCACAGAGGACTTAACTAACGAAGTCATAATAAGAAGCTTATAAGAAGAAAGGGTTTTGGAGGTTAGGCTGGATAATTTAGGAGCCTTTATAATTAGAATAGGGTTTTGCCGGGGGCGCATTATACTCATTATACCTAAAAATATATTAAGGAACCCCAAAATGGTATTGTTAATTTTTTAGGCTCCTCTACCAGAGACCCTACTATAGATCCCTTATCGACCCCTTTATTTAAGGAACCCCTTTCTGGAGGGTGGCGAAGTCTTAAAACATTCCAAGGCGAAACTGTAAGCAACAATGCGCAAAACATCGCAAAACCTTGTATGTGCAAAAACAGGGGCCCCACAGCGTCCCTTTCTGTTAAAGGAACCCTAAGGAACAGTACAGGTAAGTATATTTGGGCCCCTATACTCGTTAAGGAACCTCATTCTCAAGCCACAGCTGGCGAGCCCTAAACCGTGAAACCCTAAACCCCTAAAACCCTAAACCCTAAAACCCTAAACCCTAGACCCCTAAACCCTAAAACCCTAAACCCCTAAACCCTAAACCCTGAAACCCTAAAACCCTAAACCCCTAAACCCCTAAATCCTAAACCCCTAAAACCCTAAGCCCCTAAACCTCTAAAACCCTAAACCCCTAAACCCCTAAACCCTAACCCCTAAACCCTAAACCGAGCCTGATCACTGGCCGAGCCGAGGCGTGGCACCCAGGCGGATCGATGGCATGGCCCCTCCCATCTAAATCCTCAAGCCGATCCGGAATTTAGAGTTTTTCGTGGGTTTATAGGGTTTAGGGTTTTTTGAGGTTAAGGGTTCAGGGGCTAAGGGGCTCAGGGGATAATTAAGGGCTTTTACTGTGCTGTTACAGAGGTTGGAGTTTCAGGTGTTGGGGTTGTCAACGCATTCTGGGCTTAGGCTTTCAGCGCAGAGGCGATCTCAAAGCCCCTCGTCTTCGTGGTCTACTTGGAGGTTCACAGGCAGTTACACGTAGGGTTTTTTACGTCCCCTGTTCCTGGGGTCAGGGCTGAGGGCTTGCAGGAGTTGGAGTCTAGAGTCTAGAGATTTGCTTAGCTTAAATTTTCCATGCAACGGTGTGGAAGGTTTCCAAGGAAACAGGAACGAACATGTCCCAAAAACAGCTCGGAATATTTCCTTTGAGCCGGTCAGTACCAGATCACCAGGGCAAGGCAAACATGTAGTGATGTCTGTCGTGACTTCGGGAGCTGTTGTAGCATGGGCCCCGTTCTAGTGGTTTGGTTTGGTGCTCCGCCGGTGCCTCTGTTTTATGTCTGGCTGTGTGTCTCTGTCTGCCCCTGTCTGTCTGTGGGTATGTGTGGGTGGGTGTGCATATGTGTCTGCGTGTTTCTCTCTCTCTCTCTCTCGCTCTCTCTCTTCCGGGCATGGGGGACGGTGAAATACCCCCGGCTTCAAGCCCACCCGATCGTCTTTACCGGGTTTAGGGGAGCATGTAGTACACCCATAGGCTATAGGGCCATAAGGAATACGATGTCGTCAGAGGGTGAACGTACATTCTCCGAGACATTTGCGCAAAGGCGTGCATTCCCCTGCATGTCAGGAGTCAACTTCTCTCTCTCGCTCTCTCTCTCTCTCTCTCTTTCTCTCTCTTTCTCTGCATGTGTCCGTGTCCGCGTCCCTCTGTCTCCGTCTCTGTCTCTGGCTCAGTCTCAGTCTGTCTGTCTCTGTCTCTCTCTGTCTCTCTCTCTCTCTCTCTCTCTCTCGCTCTCTCTCTCCCCTTCTCTCCGTCTGCATATTGGTAGGGAAACGCTTGGTGGTACTTCATACCGACCTGCCGGCACGGGCCCCATTGCGACTCCAGAGACACTAAGTCGAGTCGAAACGAACGCAAGTACCCTCTACACTCGAATGAGGACCCCTGTGATAGACCCCTAGCAGCCCCGGGCAACTCCAGCGACTTCTTCCGCCCTCACATGATCGCTGTTGCGCACCACGCTGGAGCACTTACCCAGACCCCCGGGAGGATCTAGAAAGTAGCGGGGGTCTGGGTACATGTGCAGCTGTCTGATTCGGAGCTCCTTCTGTTGAGCTCGGAGATGGTGAGGATCAACTTAAGCTCCCCTAAACCCGAAACACTTAAACCCCTAGGCCCTAAACCTGAGCTCCCCTAGAAGATCCCAACTCCAATCATCAAACTCTGCAGCTGTAAGGGGTTCAAAGTTCGATTTTCCCCAACCCCGGAAGTCCTAAGCATAAACTTCAAAGCGACGTATAAAACCCTGATAATCCCTGATTGTAAACCCTGTACGGAGAGGCCTGGTGGAGCGAGACAACCCTGAAGTGCTTTAGGGCTTACGGTGTAGGGCTGCACCCTGCGCTTCCAACTGGGCTCTTGTTGAGGCCCTTCTCTGTCTGCGTCGCACTGCGGCTCATGAGGCCTGAGCGAATCCCGCTAAACCTTAAACCCCAGACCCAAAAGTGGGGTTTCGTTTCTGGGGGTAACTACGATAACAGGGCACGATAATAAGGGTACTGTAAAGTTGTTTAGAATATGGGTTCTGAAGGGTTTTGTAGTTTTGGGATTTGGTGCTTCGGGGCTCAAGGTGTTCCAGTTTGGGGGGTTTCGGGGTGCAGTGCTTCGGGGATGTAGAGAGTTTATTATGCTTGACGGCTTCAGGATGAAAGGTCTGGCAGAAAGTGCACCCATATCATGAAAGAAATCGTAGCTGTAATTTGACTCGGTCGTACCAGAAGCTTCGGAGGGATTCAACGGCGTAGGCTCCAAACTGAATTGGGTAGGCCCACGCAGTGCCTGCATGATGTAAGATCGAACCCTCTTCCGTCAACCCAGCCCCCCCTAGCCGCTGTTGTAGGAGATTCGAAGCCCCCCACCGGCAGACTACCAGAAAGAAACCGCACGCACTGAATCCTGAAACCTGAAACCCTGAGGGCCTGAAATTCATCCCAAACCCTCCGGAACAGGGTTTAGGGTTTAGGGTTTAGGGTTTAGAGTTTAGGGCTTAGGGTTTAGGGCCCTGAGGATCCAAAGTACAAAAATGGTGTTAATACCGTTGCAATTCATGCCTCTTCGTCAGTGAACACGGCCACATCCTGGCTTTCAAAGCTTCAAGTTCTCAGCAATCCTGTCAGGATTCTGAGGTTGATGCCTCTAAGGGTTCCATAAGGGCTCCGAAGTATACCATAGTTGTAGGGGCTCCTCAGGTTCAGCGGTGTGGGTAGACAGTCTAATAACTTACTTACAAGCATTACAAGGGTGCCCCCAACAAGCCTTTGGGACGACAGATGGTGGTGGTGGCGACGGTGATGATTGTTGAGAACTACCCATGGATTGTTGCCCACTTACCCCTCTAAGATATGATATGGTTCCGTGCCCTAGAAGATCTTTTTCAATGCACTGGACGTCAAAAAACTGCCCTCAGACCCCGGAGTGCCCTGTAAGCTTTGCCTAAGCAAGACCCAAAGGGTCGTATGTACTGTTATGGGGAATACTTCCCCAATTCATAATAGTAATTCCTAATATAGAAACCCGACATTCTACTATATCGGTACTTTGGACCCTGTGGGAGATCCTTTTCAACCCCAGTGACTCTTTTCAACGCGCCGGCTAACTGAGGAAGACCCCAGGGGCCCAGCTCGCCTCATCCAGATCAGCGAGGATGCTATCACGGTCGTCGGACCTCGGTCCCCCGTTCAGGGCGCTTAGGGTTTAGGAGGTTTAGGGTTCAGGGGTTTAGGGGTTTAGTGTTTAGGGGTTTAGGGGTTTAGGCTTGGGGTTTGGGCTTGGGGTCAAGGGCTTACAGGGTTCAAGGTTTAGGCTTGGGGTGTGTGTGTGTGTGTGTGCCGTTGTTAAAGTTGACAGGTGGGAGTTTTTGAAAATAGGGGACCCTAATGTAGTACCCCCAATAGTAGGATCCTTCTTATATGGACCCCGAAATACGGTACCCTTAATTAATTTTGGGAAACTCCCAGGTTGCTTCGATTTCACTCAAAGCCAAGCTAACGCATGATGGAACCCTCTTGGAGCTTCCAGCTCTAAGGCTCCATGTGCGCATATAGTGGGTACTTAGGCCTTAGAGGGGTCCCTATGTAACATAGGCACTTTAAGGGTCTAAGTACCTATACTACATGGGCACATGCAGTCTTAGGGTAGCCAGACAGGGCTGGTTTTGCATGATTTTTCCGGGCACCACCGAAAGCCTTCGAGGCCAAAATACAGGAGCCGAAAACCGCATCGACGAATCGTTTCCTATCAGCCTCAGACACCTAACTAAGTTGCACTACCCTGAGGCCCCAAAGTAGTTCCTTTTTGGGGTTCGTATATAGAATCCTATAAGGTAATCCCAAAAAAGAACTACTGTCGGGCCTAGTGCCTATGGATAGCTTCATGGATTTAAACTTTCAGGTAGAAGCCTGCATCTCCTGCCTTAACTGTGCTGCAGTTGCCCTGTTAGGCTTTGGGGTTAAGGGCTTTGGACCCTGAAGCCCTAACAGACCCCATGGGGTATAGGGTGTTTAGGAAGCACTAGGTTCGGCGTTCAGGGTTCATGCGGAAGAACGCCAAACCCTTCCGACCGGCACACCTGTCATTTGTGACTCCCTATTTCTGTTATTTGTGACTCCCTACGTTCCTGGCTCTTGGCCAGGTAAATCCCCGTCATTTGTGAGTCCTTCCGCCTGGCATCACCACACATCACCTCACCCGAAAGTGTTCTTATTCATTGGCAGGCCTGTGATTTCTTCTCAAACAAGCGCCTGTCATCTGTGACTCCCGACCCTTTTGCCTTGCTTTTCAATGTTATTTTCACACAGCAACACGGGTCATCTGTGACTCCCCGCTTTTTCTTGCTCTGGCCATCTGTGACTCCCTACTTTTTCTTGTTTTGGACCTTGGGCAAAAGGTGCCTGCTGGATTCAGTCCTTAGGGTTTTGTCTTCGGTAATAGGTTCCTGCTGGGTTCACTCCTTAGGGTTTTCCGTCTTCGGTGAAACGTTCTTCTTGGATTCATCCCTTAGGGTTTCATCTCTGGCTAAAGGTTCCTGCTGGATTCACTCCTTAGGGTTTTCGTCTTCGGTACTAGGTTCCTGCTGGGTTTACTCCTTAGGGCCTTCGTCTTCGATGAAAGATTCTTCTTGGATTCACCCCTTAGGGCTTCTACTTCGGCAAAAGGTTCCTGCTGGATTCACTCCTTAGGGTTTTGTCTTCGGTAACAGGTTCCTGCTGGGTTCACTCCTTAGGGTTTTCCGTCTTCGGTGAAACGTTCTTCTTGGATTCATCCCTTAGGGGTTTCATCTCTGGCTAAAGGTTCCTGCTGGATTCACTCCTTAGGCTTTTCGCCTTGGGTAACAGATTCCTGCTGGGTTTACTCCTCAAGGTTTTCGTCTTCGGTGAAAGGTTCTTCTTGGATTCACCCCTTAGGGTTTCACCTTCGGCAAAAGGTTCATGCTGGATTCACTCCTTAGGGTTTTCGTCTTCGGTAATAGAATGTTGCTGGGTCCTTAGGCTCGTCGTCTTGGGTGAAAGGTTCTTCTTGGATTCACCCTTTAGGGTTTCATCTTCGGCAAAAGGTTCATGCTGGATTCACTCCTTAGGGTTTTCGTCTTCGGTAATAGAATGTTGCCGGGTACACTCCTTAGGGTCTCCGTCTTGGGTGAAAGGTTATTCTTGGATGCACCCCTTAGGGTTTCATCTTCCGCCCCAAAAGGTTCATGCTGGGTCCACTCCCTAGTGTTTTCGTCCTCGGTGCTAGATTCACTCCTCAGGGTTTTGTTTTCGGTAATAGGTACCTGCTGGGTTTAATTCTTAAGGTTTTCGTGTTCGGTGAAAGGTTCTTCTTTGATTCACCCCTTAGGGTTTCACCTTGGGCAAAAGGTGCCTGCTGGATTCACTCCTTAGGGTTTTGTCTTCGGTAATAGGTACCTGCTGGGTTCACTCCTTTCGGTCCTCGTCTCGGGTGAAATGTTCTTCTTGGATTCACCCCTTAGGTTTTCATCTCTGGCTAAAGGTTCCTGCTGGGTTCACTCCTTAGGGCCTTCGTCTTCGATGAAAGGTTCTTCTTGAATTCACCCCTTAGGGCTTCTACTTCGGAAAAAGGTTCATGCTGGATTCGCTTCTTAGGGTTTTGGTCTTCGGCGCTGGGTCATGCTGGGTTCACTCCTTAGGTCTTTGTCTTGAGTCAAAGGTTCTTCTTGGATTCACCCTTTAGGGTGTCATCTTCGGCAAAAGGTTCATGCTGGATTCACTCCTGAGGGTTTTTGGTCTTCGGTAATAGGTTCCCGTTGGGTTCACTCCTTAGGGTCTTCATCTTGGGTGAAAGGTTTTCGTGGGTTCGCCCAACAGGGTTTCATCTTCGGCGAAAGGTTCCTGCTGGATTCGCTCTTTTGTGTTTTTGTCTTCGCTAAAAGGTTCCTGCTGGGTTCACTCCTCAAATTCTGCGCTGAAAGGCCCATCTTCGGCACAAGGTTCCTGCTGGATTCGCTCCTCAGGGTTTTTGTCTTCGGTAATAGGTTCCTGCTGGACTCACTCCTTGTTTCGGGTTTGTTAGGCAGTACTAGAGGCGTAAAAAATACATAGATAGATAGATAGATAGTTATATAAACACATACATACATACATACATACATACATACATATATATATATATATATATATATGTATGTATGTATAGATGTATATATGTATATATATGTATATATGTATACACATATAAGACCACATATATATATATATATATATATGATATATATGCAACATTTGTATACATATATTGTCTTATGTAGTATGTTCTAACTCTCATCTATTAGCCGGGCCGAAGCAAGCGCCATCGGCAGAGATGTGCCCTATATATCTTACATTCAGAATTTATATGTTATTTATTATATACTAGTTATCATGTATTCTATGTTATTTTATGTATACTACATACTAAACATTATATAATATATACTGCATATTATATATTATTTTGATATGTTGTATATTTTGTACTGTGCATTTTATATTGTATATATTGTGTTGCACGTTACGTATTGTGCATTAAATATGATACATGATATATTATATATTACATATAATAGATTAAATATATATATATATATATATATATATATATATATATATATTGTCTATTATATATATATATATATTATCTTATACATTATATATTTCTTCTATATGGGAAGCAAGCATCTGGTTGTGCGAAAAATACACCCCTCCTAGGGGAAAAACACTACTTTCATGCGAATGTGCACCACGCCTGGGAAAAACTGCATTTTCAGCCAAAAAATGCATCCCGCCGAGGGAAAACTAGGATGTCTTAAAAATTAGCACCGCGCCTAGGAAATATTGCAGATTCGGGCAAACTGACTACAGTCATTTGTGACTCCCGGTTTTCCGTTTCAAAGATCAAAACAATCGGGTGCATGTGCTGGCATGTACCAAAACCCTGGAAGGGTCTCCATTCAGCCGTTGAACCACCTGTCATTTGTGACTCCCTGGTCGGCTGTTGGACAACAAGGTTCGTGAAGACAAACGTTCAAGAACGTCCCAAGAGCCTAGGGAGTCACAAATGACCAGTATGCCCTTCCGACCCCCCCCCTACTTAAAGGATCATGGGACTTAGTAACTAGGGTTATAATTAGGGTAACTATACTTATAACCCCAATTAAGGTACTTATAACCTTACTTACTAAGTCCCATGATCCTCCCCCTACCCGCATCATTCTGAGCTTGCGGCCCTTCCACCTCCTCCGGGCTAAGGTTGCTGAAGTCCATCCCTGGGCCAAAGAACTGCGGAGTTCCAAAAATATAGGGGCCTTATTAATTAGAATAGGATTTTGGGGCCCATTATACCACAAGTATAATCAGGAACCCCCAAACTAGTATTAGTAATAATTTAGGCCACTATATGGGTAGTTGCCAAAATTAAGATCCCTTTTGGGGTACCCTAAATAATAGGTGCCGTATGGTAATAAGGACCCAAAAAGGGACCATAATTTTGACAACCACCCATATTAGGCTTCCGGAGAGAGTGAGAAATCCCCCCGCATGGGCTTCAAGAAAAAGGGATCCGACCCGCGGAGAGGCAGGGTCTACATTCAGAAGGCACAACTTAGGAAAGCAGGGAAGGATTACTTGAAGTAGGGTTATAAGTAGGGTTCCTTTAAAGGGATCTATAGGGTTGTAGGGTTGAGGGTTTAGGGGTGGCTATAAGTAGGGTAGCTATACTTATAACAAACATAAATATATTAGGGGACTTATAATCCTACTTATAACTACCCATGAACCTCCACATAGGGACATGGGATTTGTGGGAATTTGGGTCTTGACACGGAGAACCTAGTGCTTGCCGCAGGCCAATCAGAATCAGCCAGGCAAGTTGGGGGAGTGATCAAGGCTTCAGCAAGTTCTACTCGCTCACATGCAGATCAACGTGAACCTTGTCTTATCTACTATTTGCTTAAGAACCCCAAAAAAATAAAAATATATTCCTTATGGGGGGTAATATAGGGATTATATATTTTTTTGGGGGTTCTTAAGCACATAGTAGTTATTGCTGTGGCATGAACAACTATCAGCGGCTGGTGCAGTCACATGCAGTCACAGTTTTGGCCATGCCCGGACAACATTGCGACTGGCCGGATATGATTCCATGCCAAGCCCACACTTTTCGTGTTATGTGAGAGAACCTTCGAGCGTGTCGGGCGTCAGGGTTTGGGTTTCGGATTGCAGCTGTGCCAATCCTGGACACTTAGAGGCCTATGTACCACTAGACCAACCGACACAAAACTATTGTATAAACATATACAGAGGCCTTTGATGAACACGATGAGGGCTGCCGGGCAAAATAAAGGAACAGTAACACCGGAGCTACCATTTACCATCACCCCCACCGAAACTCAGAACCCTAAATCCTCCTAGCACTACCTGGACCCTAAGGAACCTACCTGTTTAGGGCCCCCTAGTATGATTTCTTTATGTAAGTCCTTAAAAAGGTAGGTTCCTTAGGGTTCAAGTAAACCCTGCACACAAAAAACCCTAAACCCTCAACCCCAAGCCCCGAACCCACATATACCCTAAAGCCCAAACCCCCAACCCCATGCGCCCTGCCATGCCCTACACCTAGAACCAAAAACCCTCAACCCTAAACCCTAGGCCCCAACCCCCACACCCCAAACTTCCTTAACACCTTAAACCCCAAACTCCAAACCCTCAACCGACAACTCCTGAACCCTACTTGGAGCTTCATGGGTAGATCTAAGTGGGTTGTAGGTCCCCTAATATATGGGTCATAAGTATAGTCACCCTACTTATAACTACCCATGAACCTCCAAGTAGACCCTAAACCCTAAACCCTACCTATAGACCCCCCAACTACCCTTTTTTGTAGCTCCAAATTACCTCTCAATGGGAGAATTGTCAGAGCCCTTTTTAAAGGGCACTTGGGGGCTCCTGGTAAACCCAACCTTCCAGCCCCGAGGTGTCGAAGGCGCCCTTCTCATCCTCCTCGTCCGAATCGGCCTCCGAACAGCCGGGGATCTGAGACCTTTTAAAACCCAGCGGGTCCCAGTACCCATGGGGAATATATTCCCCAACCCATAATAGTAATTCCTCATAAAGAAACCCTACATTCTACTATATCCGTACTTTTGACCCTTTGGGAAAGAAAGGAGCCCTCAAGGGAGCCCTTAAGGGTTTCCTTAAGGGCTCCTTTAAGGCTCTGCGGTTTCGGATTTTTTCGATGCTTACCCCGAGGCCCCATAGTAGTTCCTTTTTGGGATTACAAATCGTAGGATTCTGTATATGAGCCCCAAAAAGGACCTACTTTGGGCCCTTTGGGAAACCGGGGAAGGGTTCAGGATTTGGGCCTCAAGCGACCGGGATCTGAAGGCTCCTGAAAAGGTTTCTTGGTTCAGGGGCCTCAAAAGGTAGGATTAAGGTAGGTGGGGTAATCCCAAACAAGGTTACTGATAGAAGGGATCCTTAATCCTACCTACCTTCATCCCACCTTTTGAGGCCTCCAGTTGGTGCTCTTATCGAGCTTCTGGCTTTGCGGCATGCTACTTAAAGGATCATGGGACTTAGTAACTTACAATTAAGGCAACTATACTTGTAGTTATACTTATAACCTCACTTAGGCTACCTATAAGCCCACTTACTAAGTCCCCTGATCCTCCAAGTAAGGTTGGAGGTTCATGGGTTGTCCCTCAAATAGGGGTATATGGTCCCGAATAAGAGGCATTTAGAGTCTAATAGAGGGTAGATGGATGGTCTAGGTATGCATGGTTTCTTTGTATAAATCCCCGAAATGTTGGTTACTTGTGGGTAGGAGTTAAGGCACAGCATAGAGAAGACAACTGGAGCTGACAGTTTTGCAGGGCTTTAGTCAAGGTGGCAGTTGTTGAAAAGACCCGGCGATCCCCGAACATGATTAGGGCCCCCAAAAAGCACATAAGCAAAAATTGGGATAGGGATATCCCATATAAATCCCCTTATAATGAAGCCCAATAAGGTAGGGATATCCCCATAAAATGCTTATGCTTCTGTGCTTTTTGGGTCCCTAAATGATACGTCTGGGGTCCCCACCTGGAGGTTCACGGGTAGTTATAGCTGGGGCTCTATAAGGATCCTTTAAGGCTTCTTTAAGGGTTCTATAGGTTATTAGGGGTTCTAACAAGCGAGGTTCATGGGTAGTTATCAGTGTGGTTCATACGTAGGGGAGCTAAATTCTAATTACAAACGATATTATGGACTTATAACCCTACGCATACCTACCCATGAACCACCAAGCCAGTGTGTCAGATGTTTACTATTCACGGCCTTCGGAATGTTGGGCGCCACAATTGGAACGGCATTTCATACCAATATTTACAACATCAGGCCCGCAGGTAAACCACGATGGCAGCAGCAGTTACGCAAACGAACCCTAACTATTGGTGGAGTCTGGATGAAAATCCAATGACGAAGCCCGACAGCAGATCCGGGGACCCATGGATTCTATTACTATGTATCAGAGTCTCCTGCATTCTTCCGTGGGATTTCCTGTAGTTTAGGTACATGTGTTACGTCTTGTAAGCATATAGCCCCTTTAATTTCCAATTTCCCAAGACTGTGGTTCCAGCCCACTTCTGCCAGTCGATCTTCACCTTCTGTCGGGCTTCAGAACTGTACAAGGTTTGAGGCTTCAGGATCGCTTCAGGGGCTCGATGGTTTAGGGTACGATATCGTTTCAGGGTGTGGGGTTTGAAGGGCTTGCGAGTGGCAGCGCTGCACTTTACTTTTTAGGGTGGATGTCATGGTCATCGCCGTGTATCCCCATGGATCAAATAGCCCAAGAGCCTTATATGGTATGGTCTTTGGGCCCAGAAGCCTTAATATATGTATGGTTGTCAAAATTAAGGTCCCTTTTTGGGTCCCCATTATAATACGGCACCTAATATTTGGGGCACCCACAAAGGGATCCTAATTTTGACAACCACCCATATCAGTCCTTGGATCCCTAGGGTAATATCAACATCAAACTCAATTAGAGTAGCCATCCTGGAAACCTGCGAAGGGGCCTCAATTACCTATACTATTTGGGGGGGTCCTTATTATAACTATAGTCTAATATACCCCAAACCCTATTCTAATTATTAAGGCCCCTACAGTAGGGGTGTTTGCGTAAGAACTTGAGGATTGCAAGAGAAGGAAGTAGCAAGGTCTACACTAGAGTCTACACATAGGGATCGCTGATGTGGTAGTTGCAGAAGCTTCAGAAAACCGGGGGCCTGAGACACACACCCACTCAAATACATCACTCCTCATGGCGAAAACCCTCACAATTATTCAGACCACTAGAACACACCCACACACACACAGACAACCCCCCCAACCCACACACACACAGACAGAGACACACCGCGCGCCCGCGCGCGCCGCAGTGCCCGCCGCAGCACATCTCAGCATCCGGCCCAGGGCAGCTTCCCGCTCTTCTGAAGACGGGGCCTCGACTTAAAGGATCATGGGACTTAGTAACTAGGGTTACAATTAAGGTAACTATACTTATAACCCCAATTAAGGTACTTATAACCTTACTTACTAAGTCCCATGATCCTCCAAGGAGAACTATCGGGCTTAGGGAACGGTTTCGGGTTTAAGGCTTGCTGGAATTAGGGTTTTGGGCTTAGGGTTTAAGGTTTAGGGGGTTGCTGCAGAGGGGGTTTGGGTTTTGCGTTTCAGATTATCGGGCCTACAGCTACTACAGTAGCTGTGGGAGTAAGGCTTTCAGGGTCTAGGGGTTTAGGGTGAGGATTGCAGGATTTAGGGCTTGCAGGGCGTTAAAGGTATGAGGGCTGTGGCTGTCAAGGCGTCTGGCGCCGAGTGCGGCGGCTCAGACGTTTCGAGCTCCAAGTCTCTGTTCTAAGGCCCTGAACCCGCATCCCTGAACTCAATCTTGCGGATGGTCTATAGGGTTTAGAAGTTCAGGGTGTAGACGTTCAGGGTTTAGGAGATTAGGGCTTAAGGGATTTATAAGGGTTTAGGGGTTATATAGGGTTTACGGGTTCAGGACCAGGAGCTTAGAAGTTCAGGGTTTAGGGGTTCAGGGGCTTCGGGTGTGTAGGGCCCTCTTTGATGACTTCGGTTTGCTTATTGCTACCTTGCCTGGGTCCACTAATGTATCAGCAGCATGGAAGCCACGCATGTGTGGCTTTCAGCAGCATGCAGCAAAACTGGGAACCACACCTTGAGCCCTACTCGGAGGTTCCTGGGTAGTTATAAGTAGGGTTAGAAGCCTCTCCCCTAGCAGGGTCTATCATTCTAGTTACCCTACCATACTTTTAAACCCGGCTTATAGCTACCAAGGAACCTCCCCTTATTAAACCCCTATACAGCCCTGATAGAACCCTTATAGAGCCCTTACAGAACCCGTAAAGGAGCCTTATGAACCCCACTTACCTCTACTCATGAACCTCCAAGTAACCCTAAACCGCAGAAAGTAAAATCTGCGCCCCGCACCATGTCTCCTGGCTACCCTTGCGGAGGCAGAACCTGGGCCACTGCGACCTACAGAGCAACCTAGCAACACTATAGGGTTTAGGGTTGTAGCGTTTGGGGTCTAGTGTTCAGGGAAATTTTTGTTTTTTACGTGCAATGACTCCTTCAGAGAAGTTCAAGGTTCAGGGTTTCGGGTCTAGGGTACAGTGAGGTCCAGGGTTAGGGTTTCGGGTCTGAGGTGCTGTTGCCCATTTTGCTGCTTGGCTAGCTTCCAAGGGTAAAAGGAGGGACCCTTAATAAGGACCCCTAGGTATAAAACCTTAATGTAGCTATATATATATATATATATATATATATATATATATATATGGTCACCCCCCCCCCATGACAGACCATCCCCTTTAAAACATCGCTCCCACCGGCGTGTTCGTGCTTTTTCCGGAGTATCGAGTTTGAGCCCTCCGAACGTATCCCTGGAACCACCAAAAGACTGAGACCAGAAAGCAGCACGATAAGGCGCGCGGGTGTCCTACCAAGAAAGGAATTACAGAGCACACGTGTATGGATGAGGGTTGTGCTGACACACTACATAGTAAGCACTACACAGTAATCTTACTTGAGTCATATATAGAGCAGATTCCAGCATTTCCAAAATTTCCAAAATTCCAAAATTCTCTCCCCTAACTTTCCAGATTTCCAAAATTTCCAAAATTTCTAAAATTTCTAAAATTTCCAAAATTTCCAAAAATTCCAAAAATTCCAAAATTTCCCGACCTAGTCGACAGGATTTTTCCAAAACATAAGGGCGGACTTTTTGGAAATTTTGGTAAGTTTGGAAATTTTGGAAATTTTGGAAATCCGGAAAGTTAGGGGAGAGAATTTTGGAAATTTTGGAAATGCTGGAATCTGCTCTATATATGACTCAAGTAAGATTACTGTGTAGTGCTTTTAACACTAACGTTGACATGTATATTAATGCTTTCATTTCGAATATGCACATTACTAATTCTATTATTAACATTAATACTCCTACGCCTACCAATAGTCATATTCATATTGATATTAATGCCAATACTAACAGACACCTGCGTATATTAATGTCCGCAGATATACATACCACTATCTGAAAAGCAAACATATCAAATGCATTCGTGTACTAACGTAGTATATTCGTATTTAATTTGTCATATACCCAGTTTCCAACGTGACAATATACTACTTGTTAACGTCTGATTATACTGTATTGATATGCTAACTTGCTAAGACACGAATACTGTAATATGCAAGTACACTGACACATGGCAATGGTATACTAACATATGGATATACCAAAAATAGTTGTTAGATAATATACGAATATGATAAATGAAGTAGCATACCAGGATACTCATACACTAATATGTTAATAATCGAAGATAATAGCACACCAATATACTAATGTACTCATGCACGAACGTACGCATGCATTAATATACTAAGAGCATACAAACATGCAGGTATACAAACATATTACTGTTCGAATACATTATAATGTGTTGGTATACTAAGCTGTTTATATAATCTATCAGTATACTAATATATCAAAACTAATTATAGTATTGATACGCATACTAGCACGTCCGCGAATATTACACTGATGTTAAATTCATCATTAAGACTGATTAAAACTGACATCGACATTGGCACTGGCATCAACACTAATTATCACTAAATATGCTAGTGTACTAATATACGAATACTGTAAAAAGGCAAGTACACTGACATGTTCACATGCCATTATGCCAACATATTGATATACCTATAAGCTACTAGGGAAAATACGAATATAGTAAGTGTAGTAATAGACCACTATAATAATATACTAATATACTACTACGTTAACATACGAATATCATGATACACCAATATACTAATGTACTCATGCACCAACGTACTAATATATTCGCGCAATCTTCAACTCTGCAAATATACTATTGTTCGAATACATTACTGTATTATTATATTAAGCTCAAAATGTACGAATCAATCAGTATATTCACATATCAAAACTATTTCTATTACTGATACTAATACCAGCACTTCTGTGAATAATAAACAGATACTAAAACCAGCATTCAGACTGATACTAATACTAACACGAGTACTATTACTGACATTGGCATCGACACTGGCACTAACACCAGCACGAACATAATCACGAGTTCATATTTACTATTATTGATATGTATACTTTTATTCAATACTAACACTAATACTGATGCTAATACTAATACTAAATACCAATACCAATACTAGTACTAAGCAATACCCATCCTAATATCAATACTACCACAAAACTATTACTCATATGAACACTGATACCAGGATTAGGACTACTACAAACAATGACAGCAGTACTAAGAATAGAACCAAGAACAATACATATTAATCCTAACACTAATACTGGTACTAATACTAGCTACTAATTCTAATACTCATACACATACCAATACTAATGTCACCACTACTGCTGCTACTACTACTGCTACTACTACGACTACTACTACTACTACTACTACTACTACTACTACTACTACTAGTACACATACTTAATACTAAAACTAATACTGATACTCATACTAGTCACTAATACTAATACTAATACTCATTCTAATACTAATACAAATACCAATACTAATGCTACCACTACTACTGCTGTGCGACAACTATTGCTAGTACGACGACTACTACTATTAACATCAATACACATACTTAATGCTAATACTAAGAGTAATACTAATTCGAATACTATTACTCATACTAAACATCCTAATATCAATACTACCACAAAACTAATACTAATGCTAACACTGATACAAGAATTGAGATCTACAAACAGTAATAGTGGTACGAAGAGCAGAATTGAGATTAAGATTGGGACTAGGAGCGCTGCATGCGTGTGAAGAAATTTCCAAAAATTGCAAACCATCTAAAAGAACATTTTGGAATTGAGTTTGGGAGAAGTGTCTGCCGCCTATCCGTTGACAGATCCTGCCTGGGGACGCACGCCACCCTTCCCCTTCCCCACGACGGTCTGTCATGGGGGGGGGGGGGTGAGCATATATATATATATATATATATATATATATATACCCATTATATAGCCCATTTTTGGGTAGGGGTCCCCATTAACGGTCCCTCCTTTTCCCCTTTGATAGTTGTCAGTGTCAAAGCCGCAAACTGGCAAAGGCAACCTCACCAAGGAACTACACCTATAGTCTCCATTGTAGTTCCTTTTTGGGGTTACCTTTTGGGATCCTTAATATAGAATTGGTTAAACCAAAAAAAGGAACTACAATGGAGACTATAGGCAATGGAGACCGAATCTCGGTACCGTTTGCAAGTAGTGCGCGACTCGCATAGGTGGAGGCAACATTCACGGTTTAGGGTTTAGGGTTAAAGGGATTCCAGGTATGGTGAAAGCATGGGAGACTGGAAGGGAATGCCTTCGCTTACATTGTGTCTCGATCTTCTGTATCCCACATGATCGTCTTGACTGTACACTCTTATACCACGACTTTGAAGAAACCGACGACGGCAGTCAGGTGAGCAGCCAAGCAAAGTGAACCCACTTGGCAGCCCCACACAGGGCATCGTTTCGTGCTGCACTTGGACTCCTGGCTCTGCTCGGAAGTATTTCACAGCGACATGCCTGCACTCGGAAGTAGACCCACCCCAAAACCGACTCCTGCTAGTTGGACGAATTAGTCGAGCCCAACATAGGAAAAAAAAAAGCAAACACATCCCGTCTTTTCGCGAGGATTTGACAAACGGTTGGCCTGGAAACCTGGATCGGGCTCAAAGGTGCGTGAGTCAAGGGGCCCCGCCCTTTCGCAAGATTCTCTGGTTCGAGGGCACTGCTTTAGGGCTTTGTTTAGGGCTTTAGGGGCTTTGGTTTCAAGGATGGCGGGTGTGCGTTTGCCCTAAACCCTAAACGCCTAAACCCTAAAGTATTAAGGCTGGGGGTTCAGCGGCTTGCAGGCTCCACAGCTCCTCCCGCCGAATCTGGGCGAAGAGGTCCAGGTGGAAGGAATATTCGACACCATCCTGCACCAGCTGCACTCATGGGCTCATGTATGGGGCGCACACCCACCCCGAACTGCGCAACCTCTTGCTTCCCTTCTAGTCATTCTAGTCACTGGTCATATCGCGCATCGGCACATGTCTGCAAAATCCACATAGCGAAAAAATCGTGATATTGTTCGGATATCCGAGCGACAGTTTATAGTAGCCTCAAGATAGTAGCCTGCATCATCGAAACTTTCAAAGTAACCTGACATCAGAGCAAATTAAAGCAGCCTGGAGACACAGTAGAAGCCAGAAAGCTAAAACAGCGGTATCCCCAAAACCCTCAAAGTAAAGCATATAGGATCCCAACGTGTATCATCCTTTACTTCATTCTTCAGCTGTTTAAACTTCAGTGGTTTACATCACCTGCAAGCGCCCTGTGAGTCTCAGATAGTCTCTTCGCCAAGGCTTCTCTAGGCCCTAGATCTCTCCTGGGTTGTCCGTTGAGGACCTTCGAACAAAAACATTCGGGCAACAGAATTTGTGAACATATTTTTGATTCTTGATCCTAAACACCGAAGCCCTCCATCCTTGAACCCGAAACAGACTCAAACCATCCCAGAGCCCAAGACTCCAAAGGCGCTCGCCCCCCCGCGGACCCGATAAGGGTCCTCGCCGCTTCTGGCGGAGAAGCTGAGGCCTCGATGGTACTGCGGACGCATCCGGCTTCTGGCTTATAATAGGCCTTACCAATTAGAACAGGGTTTTGGAGCCCATAAAACAATAATTACATATAGTAAGGAACCCTAATAATATAGGTACTGACTTAGGTCCCTAGAGTTTCTGTATGGCCTAGCTCATCTTTCAGGCTTCCCACTTGAAACCCTACACAAAAGCTTTGGCTTCTAGTTTGGGATGACTCGGAGGATTCGTGGGTTCAGGGTTTAGGGTTTAGGGTTGTTCCAGTGCTCTTCGGGCTTCTAGGGAGCCCGACTTGTAGCCGAACCAGATTCAGAAGCAGAAGACTTGGTACTTCGGGCCCAAGCAAGGCATGCCAGGTTGACTTGAAAGCGTTACAAAGTTGGATAGAAAATGCTTTCACAAGCTGCGGCAATATTCAATATTCAGTCGTGTGGCCTCTTTCATTGCAGAATGCCGCTATCTGATCTTCTTCTGATCGTCTGTCCCGTAGTCATTGCGGAGATTTATAGGCTGGATGGGGTTGTGAGAACCGTCGAAACAAACAGGCATGTGGAGCTGGAAATACGTCAATGAGACGATGCCTTCTTCCAGCAACTCACAGAAAACGTCGAAGATTCATCAAATTTCCGATAGGCAACACTGAAGCACCAAGCCCTGTGATTGCACACATGGTACACGCCACACCCAAAACTCTTAACCCTACAGTACTTGGACGGTGGCTTTCATCCTCCAACTGAACGGACACGTCTTTGGCATCCTCGGGACGTGGGTCTCACAACATGCGCACTTAGTAATTACATAAATGACTAGTTCTGCCTGGAGCCATGTTGCCTTGCGGCCAAGCAACATCGGGTATAGGGCATACATGGGGCTTCAGAAAGCTCGGGTTCACCAGGAAACCCCCCAACCGCCCTTTCATAGAGCGCTTATGGTCCTTAATAGTGGGTTTTAAGGGTATAACAGAGGGTAGTGGAGGAGAGGAGTCTAGGAAACTCACGAACCTTCGGCTTCTTTTGCTTTAGGCACTCCAAGGCTTCATTGCCTACAGTGGTCCTTCACGTCAACCGTCACGAACACGGAATCCTGACACGGGGTCTGTTTAGGGGAGTAATACATGGGCCTTCATTAATTAGAATGGGGCTTTACGGGCCTATTTATTTAAGCTCCTATCGTAGGTTCTAGCTTTTGGCTTTCAACCTCCAACAAAAGTGCAGGGATACTGTCAGGTGAACCCCGGCAATACGTCGAGGTCAAGTCCTTGCGCTGCGCCCAAAGAACCGATGGCTGCAAAGCTTTCGTGACCTGCCGCTCCAAGATGCTTGCCGGCGATTAATGATTCCCTCCCTCGTCGAAAGTATGTTCCGGGATTTAACTGATATGTTTCTGGACTTAAGTACGGGTATGTACACGGTAACGGCCCATGTAGTATGTTTCTGGACATAACTATGGGTTATATACACGACACATGGACATTTACCGTCCACTACCTCGCAGGGTAAAATGGGCTTCTCGGATATTGTGGCTAAGGGTATGTTAAGCAAAGCTCTGATGTGGGGGCCTTGTTGTTGTTGTTGTTGATTCAGGCAAAGTGCAGCCAAAGTGCAGCTATTCAGCGAGTGTTTATGGTTCAGGGTTTGCGGTAGATCTTTCCAGCCTGGGTTGCTTGTGTGGCCGGATAGAAACAGTGCAACAAGTACCCACCAACCCTAACCATTATGGCCTTACTTATGGCTTCATGATACTTTGTATTACATCACTGTTCCAGTAGACCCGTCAATGCGGTGGCAACCCGCTTTTAGTTAACTGGAGTCCTGGTCCGGAGTGTTGCCGTAGCCGGCTGGCATGGCAGCAAGACAACGGCCGAGGCAGCTGCTTTATGCAGGCTTTAGAGCTCAATTGAAGGGCGCGAATTGGGGCTTTGCTTTTTCAGGGCTCGCTTGAGGATTCCCGTAAAGGTTGTTGAGTCTGTGGGGTTGAGGGGCTAGCTCTCGCGTTTCGGGTGGGTGCCGTGGAGAATTGTCTGGCCGCGATTGATTCGGGGGGGGGTACGTAGAGGAGGGATTCCAGAGAAAGATCTATTGTAGAAGCCACCAAAATCCCAAAATGCCTAAACACTAAACACTTCTGAAAAGAATTCAAGGCTCCCTCCCAGTAGTGCGGCTGGGGATCAAGTGATTGCAGGGTCTAGGCTTAAGGGTTCTGCATAGGGCCAATGCCATGTATGGAGTATTCAGGGTTTGGAGTTGAAAATTAGTGTGCTGCCCGTGAGCGTGTCCGCATGTTCTGGCTTCTGCATGAGGCTGTATGCCACAGATTACGGACAACGGGCCATCGGACAATCAGAAAAAACCCCTAAACCCCCAAACCCTCAACCTCCGAACCCTGAACCCCCAAAGCCTCATGGATCTTTCAACAGGGAGACTCAGAACCTAATTACAGGACCCTTGCAATATCGAGTCCCAGGAAGGAGCGGGATCCTGGCAATAACGACCCCTAAGCGGGGTAGCACGGGATCCCGAATCTTCACTAAGTCTCGACTCAAGTGGTGGCTTAAGACTTGGGAGTTTCCGAAAATAGGGGACCCTAATCTACCACCCTAAATAGTATAGGATCCTTATTATAAAGACCCCAAAATAAGGTACTCCTAAATTTCGGAAACTTCCATGCTTGTGACTCAAGTCCTAGTAGCCGGATGCAAACCCGGAAACCAGGTCAACAAGCCTAGCCTACCCTCATATAACCTGCACAGGACACCTATAACAAGAATCTCCACGAATTCTAGACCCAAGAGTAACCCAGGCATAAAAAGGATGCCCTTTTTGGTTTAAAGTGGCTTATAAGGGAACCTGAACCCTAAAAAAGGGAATAGTGGCCTACTCTGGGTCCTAGAATTTAAGCTCTCTTCTTCAACAACCGAGCCCCGACAAGTTCAAACTTTCCAAGATAGAGCTGATATATAAGCCCAAAAAGTTTAAAGTTCCCCCGTTCACTAAGTAAGTGGGCTTAAACCCTAAGAACCTTTAGCGGAACCATTCGAAGGATTCCAGTGATCCCAAAAGCCCGAAAAACACTGAACCTCAGACCCCGGCGTTCCCACATGTTTTGCAGTTCTGCGGAGGTTCACCAAACACAGAGAACTTAAGATATTGGTTCTTAACAATTAGAAGGGGGTTCGATACTGTCGGATTTGTGCAGGGCAAGGAGGGCCTGACGGGGATAAATTAGGGGCATGTAACAGGCAGAATAGGATTTGGGCGTATGTTCCACTGTACCGTGGCGATGATGCTGATCATCATCATCATCATCATCATCATCTTTATTATCGTATCTGCATCTGTTTAAAAATGTATGTAAAAAGGTATTTCATGATACTGTTGTCTTATGTTACTGATTATTGCGGCCGAATGTTACTGTTCTTACAATCAATATGATGATTCTTGTTGCTCGTGCTATAGGTCGCCATTGCCAGTATCATTTAATCCGGTTGGGTGTTGGTCTGTGTTTCAATCCGTAGGTGCCAAGCTTTCAGTCTAGAGTTTCGCTGCACGCTCGAAGGTTTAGGAAGCGCTGTAGGCGCCAATCCACGGGAGTAAGACCAGATCCAACCCTAATGCCGAAACCCGGACTAATCCCTAAACCCTCCAGGCCCCAATCCCTAAACTCCTAAACCCTGAAGGCTAAACCCTAGAAGCCCTAGTCCCTAGAAGCCCTAGCCCCTAAACCCTAAATCCTAAACCGTAACACCCTGTACCCTGGGACTGTTTTTTGTCCTCCGCTGTGCTTTCTTCATTCACTTAAGCTCCGGCCTTCTTGCCAAGCCTGCCGCTCTTTGTGTGCTTGCTTCCTTTTCTTCGCTGGTATATACTAAACCTGGACTAGACCTTATGATGATTATGGCCATTGCTGTTGCTATTGCGGCATTTTATATACTGGGATTGGGGTTCACGGATCCAGGGTCTCTTTCCACGGATGCATCACTGCAGTAGCTCATCCTCTTGACATTCCTACTGTTATCGAGTTGCTGTGAGGAACCTTTGCTTTCCCAACTTGGAAACTGCTCTTTTGCTCGTCTTATTGCTGCCAGTCTTTGCTGTCAGTCTTATCAACTGCCATACCCTGGCTGTTGTCTCTCTCTCTCTCTCTCTCTGTCTCTCACCGTAGTTGCTGCTTTATCACCCTTCTGTTCTGATTTCTGAGACATGGGTGCCGCATGCAGCCCGCAGACCAAACTTCCGGGATCTACAACGGACGGGGATGCATCATAAGGAGGAGAGTGCATATAGAGTCGAAGAGTCATGTATGAATTTCTAAGACTGGCATGGATGCAGACATATGGGGGGTTTCCGAAAATGTGGGACCCTAGTATAGTACCCTTAATAGTAGGTCCTTATTATAAGGACCCAAATTTTCGGAAACTCCCACATATCTTGGCGCTTAACCTGAACTCTCGGACCGAAGACCTGCTGGTATGCTCAACAAGAACCAGGACAAGCCCGTGGCCGGGATCCCAATGAACCCAAAACTCTCCTTGAGCAGTGTGACAATATAAAACCCGCATGGGTGGCAATGGGTGGTTGTCAGTTTTTGCTGTCCCTTTTTGGCTTCCAATTTTAATATGGCAGCTATTAACCAAAAAGGACCTTAATTTTGACAACTACCCACATAAGATAGAAACGTGCGTGAATAGCAATAATGTTCCTCTGGATTCCCATCGGAATTAAAGCGTGACGCGCAGAATCAGAAGGGTTCCCCTGCCACTCCTTCCCCTCCCACTCACCCGCTAGCCTAAGCGTCCTTATGATAATCGTTTGGGAAAGCATGCCTCTAATGGAGCGCAGCATCCCAAGCAACTTGCAGGCTCAAATGGTCATTAGTACTGCTGTCAAAAGTGCAGCAATAACTTTATAAAGTTGGTATAAAAACCGTTGCCTCGTACTCGCAGAACGACTAGTCGTAAACCTGCCCTAAACCCAAAACCCAAAACCCTAAAACCCACAGCGGTGTCCAAGCCTCTATGCTGGATCGGAGGCTCGACAGGCGTTCCGTCTCCAGCTTCTCTAACTGCGGCTGCGGGCGGCTTGCTGGGCTGGAAGACTTCCGACTTCCACGGTTTGGGGTCCTTAGGGTTTAGCGTTTTACGGGCTTGGGGTTTGAGGGTTTAGGGTTTGGGGTTTTAGGGTTATAGGGGTTTAGAGTTTAGGGGTTTAGGGTTTGGGGCTTTAGACTTTAGGGGTCTAGGGGGCTTTTGGGTCTACTTAGGGGTTTGGGGTTTCGGGTATAGGGGTTTAGGGCTTAAGGGTTAGGGTTTCGGGGGTTTTCGGGTTTTAGGAGCTCGAACCCTCGACTCCCAAACGCTAAACGTCAAGCGAAACCTAATTAGACGCCAACCCCCAATATAGGGGCCTTAGTGATTCAAATTAGGGGTTTTGGGGTATAAAGGGGGTTTTTGGGTCGATAGAACGGATAAACTGCTGAAATATTCGTGTACTGTGGTGAACATAAGATAAGTGCGCTGCTGGAAATGTACCTGGGCCTCTTGGGCAATACGGGACAAGTTCAAGTCGCGCTGGAAGGACGGTATTTAAGTTTGTACCATATGCCGCTTAAGCCATACAACCCTAAACCCCTACAACAAACAGCAAAACCCTAAACTTTTTTGGTGGGACATCAATCCACCGTGCACATGGGAAGTTTTCGGAGCAAATGAGTGACGCCTTTCCACGGAATCTCGGTGAAGGGTATAGGGGTAACGAGGGTTTAGGGTTCAGGGTTTGGGCTTTATAGATTTAGGGATTATAGTTTAGGACTTAGGGTTCACGGTAGAGACAACACCCCCCCCCGAATGTGGCCTCCTTGAGGCGGTCTGTTATCTCCTGCAAGTCCTCTGTAGGCTCAGAGCGAAATATAATAGTGCCTGAATTTTGCAGAAAGAGCAGTATTCAGAGTCTCGGGGAATCCTAGACGATCATGACAAGGACTAGGAGGGAACAGAATTTCCAGTTTTTCCGACCTCTATAGGCTCAAAAGGCCCCTGCACAAGGATGTGGAGTTCGTGGGATCATGGGACCTGGTAAGTCACCCCAATCGGGGTTTTAAGTGAGTACTTACGGGTAGCCTAGTTTATGACCCTACTTGCTAAGTCCCATGATCCTCTAAGTAGTTAGACAAGGCTTTGTGCGTGAGAGTTGGCTTCGGTGCTTCTGGGGTTAGTGCCCTAAAACCCTAAACCCTAAAAACCCGGAATCCTGGAAACCCGAAACCGTACCTAGACACCCCTAACTACCCCTTATTGTAGCCCCAAACTACCTCATAATGAGAAATATCAAAGCCCTTTGAAGGGCACTTGGGGGCTCCTGGTAAACCCCCCAACATTCCTTCCTATAGTCTCCATTGTAGTTCCTTTTTTTGGCTAACCAGTATTATGGTTAGGATCCTATAATAGAGTTTTTGGTTAACCAAACAAAGGAACTACAATGGAGACTATGCTATACTGAACTTAGAACCCTAGCAAAAATTACAATTTTAGCTGTTTCTTAGAGATTATAATAACCGAAAATTGAAAATTGTTTCTAAGTACCCCTAAGTATAGGTTGGACCCATTGGAAGAAGCCGAAGTCCTCGAGAGCGGCATGCTGCCGACGCGTCGCGCGCGTGGAGCGCCTGGCCAACCGCAAAAAGTCGGGCCAAGGCAGGGGCCTCGGTTTAGGGTTTAGGAATAGGGATCCTTTAAGGGTTTTGGGCTAAGACAGGGGCCTTAATGGATCCTTTAAGGGTTTAGGGCCAAGACACGGGCCTTAGTGGTTAGAAAAGGGATCTTTTAAGGGTTTAGGGCTAGGACAGGGGC